TTCGAAATTCTGCTTTGAAACACAAATGTCATAAGCACACAGATTAAAATGTTTTCTTCCAATGCACCTGACAGAACAGCATTCCACTTAAGGATAAAAGGTTCAGCCTATCTCCAGCTGTGTGATGTTCTGGGCACCACATTACTCAACTGTTTATAAAGCACCCAGGAAAACAGATGTCAGAGTATGCAAATTTGATCCTAAATATCTACTGACACATCTCACTGTGCGGTAATAACGCATCTGATTTAATACTGAGGAATTAAAATCTCAAAGACATGCACAAAACAAAATGCTGCAATGAACCAGGAGACAAGAAGGTCACGTTTTTATAATGTAATAGCAGAAGACACAATATTCTGCTGGTTTTGTCAGAACAAGAACTCAGGGTCTATTCTCAAACGCTTTTTAAGGAGGCAGTTCACATTTACACTTCACTGTAAAAGACCTTGGTTTCCCAGAATTCACATCTATGAATTTCTCGAGATATTTCCTCAAGGAAACACAGATTTTTACCTAAGGCAGGAGGATGTCAGAAAGGAGGCCAGAAGTTTCATTAACCTGAGTTATGTTTATCTGTTATCTTATTCCGTGGCAATCAGAGAACGGTTTGATGAAACTATTTGCAATGCAGTGACAAATTCTGGAATATTTGGATCAAAAAGTAGATTTGAAGAGTTCCTTTTGAAAAAGTGAAATTTTACTTTACCATTTTAAACAAATGACACCTATTTTTTATTTTGCTTTTTCTCTTCAAATCTACTTTAGTGGTTTGGAAGGTCAAAAAAAACCCAAACAAAAATAATTTGTCACGCAAAAGTAAATAGCAGTTTTATTTTCCCAACTAGCTTGCAAACCTAAAACTGATCAGCATAGCTCTGGTATGAGAAGGAGGTCATGTTCTTCCCCAAGTTACCCATCTAGTTTGAATGCTGGAGCTCATTTCATTCTGATAGTCCAGATTCAGTTCTCTTCTGCCTTCTATGTCCTGGAGTTATGAAGAAGCCTTGTGAACATGATATGGGAGTGCATGAAACAAATTTAAATCAAATATTTTGTGACAAGTTAACTCTCCAATGCAGTAAATTTCCTCTTTATGAACTATCATCTCCTCGGTTTCTCCCTCTTTTGGCTCTGGCTTTGACCAGCAAACAACATCACTAGCAAATTGTCAATGCAGACCAGCTCAAAAAATGTTTAATCAATGACAGCTAGTAGCGTAGGCCTATATTTTTAGAGCTACAGGCTCAAATCCATGAGATGTACACCCAAGATACTGGCAATATGTCACTGCCACATAGTGAAATGTGGCAACAGCAAAACACAATAGGTGGACAGGGAGAGGAACATCACAGGCACTTAGAGGAAAGAAAAGAGAATACACTCTTGGCTAACAACATGAAAGGTGAAGAAAAATGTCCACACTGCCAACAAGGAAAAAGTTATGAAGGATTTCATTTGCATGACCCTGAAGACTTTAGCAGAGAAAAAAAAAGGAAAAAGAAAAAGGAAAAAGAAAAAGAAAAAGAAAAAGAAAAAGAAAAAGAAAAAGAAAAAGAAAAAGAAAAAGAAAAAGAAAAAGAAAAAGAAAAGAAAAAGAAAAAGGAAAAAGAAAAAGAAAAAGAAAAAGAAAAAGAAAAAGAAAAAGAAAAAGAAAAAGAAAAAGAAAAAGAAAAAGAAAAAGAAAAAGAAAAAGAAAAAGAGAAATAGCACTACCTGCCACAGTTTAAAATGGGAAGTGGTGAAGAATCGCACTGGTCCACAGTTTGATGGGTTTTCCTTATTTCCGCATAAATCAAGTGTTCAAATCAAGTTCTTTACAGATACGAAAGTATTTGGGATAGTCCACAGACAGCAGAGAATGGAGAAGCAGTCATAACCCCTCATGCTTTTGCAGGTATGCAAGGCCTCATATGCAGTGGAGGTATCTTAGTTCCCAGCCCTGGTGATCAGGCAGTCCATATAGAGAAACCAGTTCTTTTTTTTCTAGAAAGCTCCATACCAGTAAAGATTACTGGGTTGAAATTTCATAATTAACTTTTGTTTCCAACCAGCATAAACGATCCTCTATACTCTCTCACTCACTGCCCTCTACAGCAGGTACTGCTGTACCAGGTGACTTCAGCACATGAGAGGAATAGGAATATGCTGGCAATACTGGGGCAAGAGTTTCCAGCCAAGTCTGGTGCACAAAACCAATGATTTCTTTAAGTCTTATGCTGCAGTTTGCAGAAGGTGAAAAAAGATATTGTCACCTCTGTTATAGACTCAATAAATATCTAGACCACAACAGGGGACTGGCTGATGAGCCTAGTTCATCTCTGCTCACTGCCAGATTTCCTTGCTGTCAGGAATTTCCAAGGTTATTTTGACAACAAAAGTTGCTTGGATTCAGACCAAGTTGTCTACAGCTGTGATTGCAAAGCAGTATCTTGGGATGACAGATGTTTAGATATTTTGACTTGCTTCTCAGCTAGTGTTGCTCAGTGAAGTTCTGGAGGCACTGCAGGAGCTGAAACCTGCACGCTGGGCACCTGCATCTCTGTCTCATGAGCTGGCAACAGAGCTCAGGAGTCTTCTGAAGTGGGTACCATGGGGAGGTCATGACTTTCCTTAAGAAAACAACTGCAAAGCATCTGCTCAAAACCCAATCTTTCAAGGTAAATCCTAAAAAAGGGCAGATACATTTTGATCCTTCTTTTGTTTAGGATTAATTGTCCAGGCTTTTGCAGCAACGCAAATCTTGTGATATCTAGAAACCTGAGATTTTGACCCCAAGTCTTCTATATATATGTGTGTGTGTGTGTACAAATGCACATATTCTGTTAGCTTCACTGAAGTCCACATTTAAATTGTGAATGTATGATGACATGAACTACCCTTTGCCAGAATTAAAGAAGTTTTTTAAGTGTTGATTTACTTCTGCTTTTAGGATGTCACAAAGGGCTCGGGATGAATGCATGTTGCCCAAGGGCAGCCATAATGTTCTACCCCATTGCCTTATAGACACTGGCTACGATGCCATAGGAAAGGTAAAGCAGACCAGTACAATGACTAAGCCCCACCTCTGCTTTCTAGAGTACCTAGTACACAAGACAACTCATGACAAGTGAGAAGAGAGGGGGCTTCTTTACATTCTCCACCCCCAAAAATCTATACACATCCAGAGCTGGTGCCATTAATCTTGCTATGAGGCAATTGCTAATTAGTGAAGTTCTTAAAATTGCAATATGTTCTTTTGCTGGATTTTAATGATTTTTTAACCAATAAAAAAAAAAATAAAAACCTTACCATTTTGATTTCTTAATTTATTACATTTAATTCTGTGTGTTTCAGAAGGTTTACCTTTCTTTCCAGAGAAATAGCCACGCACATGATGTTGGCCTATATCGTGCTCAAAATATTTCTATATTAAACTTTCAGATATATGCCAAGCTCTGGTCAAATGTCCCTCAGGAGAACCAAAGATCTAAGTACTTGGAATGAATTTTAATTAAGTATGGAAACTTCCCAGAATGAAAAGAAAAACCCTTCTAAATATAGACATCTTAAACATCTTGCAAAAACGCACATTTGATTGCCCCGAGCAATGGGTAGCCATACGGAAGAAATTGTCCAGACTTCTTGCATTTTCTGGCTTAGTTCAGGAAACCTCTAGGCCTTACTACATAAAGAAAAACTTCCCTATAAAAGATTAACTCCTAAAATATTCAATTGAAAACAGATTCTGGGAACAGATGGATCTAAAACTCTGTTGTATTGTGTAACCTCTAGAGGATCTGGACTGGAAGCTAGGTAAGATTTAAAAAGTCCTATATTTGGGCCTCTTTCCTCCTTTTCTCCTGGTCTGTCAATGCATCTGGGTTATTTTACCAATCTCCCAGTTACTTAATGAATTATTTAATAGAGGAGTGTATGTGGAGAGAATATCAGTCAGCCAAACTAATAACAGATTGAGGTAACAGTGACAACTAACAGCAACCAATGCAGTACTCAAAGAGACAGTAGGGTGCATCTCTGCTCCGTGCTCCAATGATGCGACACTTTGCACTGTCCTTCTCCTGCTTCCCAAACATGTTTCATACTTAGAACAGAAGCCAGTGTGTTGACAGCTAGATAGCCTAAGTCTCATCTGGGTAATTCTGAAACAGTGGCAAGAATCACAGTTTCTCGTGACCTGGCACACAGTAAAGTAACGTGCTTGGCCACCACGTGGGGAAAGAATGCCAACCACAATTGCTAAACACTTTATGAAAACAAATACAACTCTAAGAGGTATGAGGAGTTGTTTGCTTGATCTTTTTTTAATTTCTTTACCATGAATAATTTTATTTCTTTGCTTCTTATTTTCTATGTTAACTACTAAAGACAGGAAACCTCAAGCTGCACCCTTGAAAACTATTAACTCGGTAAGCATACCTAGAAAAAAACAAACGAGCAAACACATACCAAAACAATACACTATCTTGCACAAGTAATTCTGTCCCTAAAGAAGGAATGAAAAATGGACAGTGTGTCAGAGATAAGTAAGTTGTACCACCGCATCTGAGGGGCAAGTTAAAATACAGCTCATGAGGGTAATTTGAATGCTAGGAACTGGGACAGTTGCATGCATGTAATGTAGTAACATATCAGTCAAGGAATAAAGACATCTTAAGAATCAGGCGTTCAATATGAAGGATGTTTGTAACAGGTTGTCTTATTATGAGAGCATTTCCAAGGTAGATGATGACAGCAAATGAACAGAAAAAAAACTCCACTGTAGTATTCTCAAGGTTGTGCTTTAGCTGTTAAAGCACAGGTAGATAGACAGATGTTATACATGTCTAGCAGGTGGGTGAGTATCATCACCATTGGCATAGAAATGGCAGAGGAATGGGGGAAAGCTAACAGGGCAAGTAATGAAATACATTGGAGAGAAATCTGCTCCCCTGCTCTGACTTCGGGATGGCTCCTGCTCTTAAGGAATAATACACTGAAAAGTATCAAACGCTGCTTACCTTTCAATTTTTCAGCCAGCAAAGCAGCTTCGTGTTCAGAATAATGCATTATTGCCGGAGGAGAAGGAGGGCGCAGTCTGTCTTCTTCCATTTTGCGTCTGTGGCGTTCTTCTCGGGCCAGCATTCTTTGTTTGCATTCCCATTCATAAAAGTCATCTCTTGCCTGAGCAAAATCAACATGAAGGCGACCTGAATCCTTTTTGTCTGTGCTAGATCCTAATCTCATGCGGTAACCTGAAACCAACAAGCAGAACTTACTGTTGCAGGACGACTTTGCTTATTTTTTTCCCTCCTCCCCCCCCTGTCTTTTTGTTTTCCCCCCCCCCCCCCCCCCCCCCGAAATGCAGGTAAGTAAAAATGTACATTAACAGATTCCCACATATCTACACAGGATCTATTGATCATTGTGCTTTCACAGGAAGATAAACATTCATCCACTCATTTTTCCTCACAATTTTCTGCATCACCTATCAACATAGTAGATGAGCTGAAAAAGTCAACGCAAAGGTACAGAATCTACATTCCTGTTTAGAAGTCTCTCAAAATATGTAATTTTTCCACCTGATACTCCCAAATTTTGTAAGTGCAAAGGCCAGATAAACAAAAAACAACTACTCAAAAAGGATCTCTTTTGGTTTGAATGTAGAGGTCTTCTTTCCCTGATCCAGTTGAGATCATGTGCAGTTCAGTGCTTTTCTCCAGCCTGTCAAAGGAATTGGAAGTATAGGGAAAGGCTGAATTTTATAAAAAACATTAGTATAGGTGAATGAGAAAATTGTGCTCCATAAATTCCTGGGCCACAAAGAGGGTGCTGTCATGTCCACATTGATGCTAGATCTCAATTTTTGAGGCTTTACAATTGCAAACACTACTTCCCAATTCCCCATTGGAAATAATCTCGCAGCAAGTATAAATCGCCTACAAATTAATTGAGTTCAGTATTCTTTAGAGTAATTTTAAAAGTGTGGATGTATTTATTAGACATATGCAAGACTCCTTTCAGAACAAATAATGAAACCTGTTGTGCCTCATCTTTAGCAATGTTCTACATATTCATAATTTGGTAAATATGCTAAAGCTAGCAGACTGCAAAGGCTCTGTCAGGGGGTACGCAGCGGTACAACAGGGCCCTACTCTGAACTAAAACCCTTGACTGCTGTCAGAAGACAAATAAATCATGCCAAAGCTATAAAAGGAGCTTTTCGTGACCATACTGTAGAAGAACATATGCTGGGCACCTATCTTTTTTCAAGTTTTATTTCCAAGGCTGAAAGATACTCGCAGAGCAGTTTCTCTAGCTTTTAAAATGCTGATTCAGAGAAAGTGTGAGAAAACACTACGTAGAAAGCTGCAAACAGAGCCTTCAGATGCAGGTAAAATAAATCAGTCTGCACGGGGCCAGCTCTAATTTCTCCATGCCAGCCTGTTGCAGTAGCCTCAGAAGCACAGCAGCCCAGCAGTGACTTCTCAAATCATGGAATTCTGCAGAGATGAACTCTGTGCTGAGCTGGCATATAGGAGGCTCTTCAGAAACACACACTGCTACAACCATTGTGTAATAACTTCAGGGGCAGGAAGCTCCCATTCAAAATGGCAAGAAAAAAGGTGTTGGCTACTTTTGAACAACAACCCAAGAGAACCTACCTTTCAGTCTTGTGGTTTGCCTGTGGTTTGAAGAGCTTCAGCACCTCACCACCACAGTTAAACTCAGTTTTGAACTCTCTCCAGGGACAGCAAAGATAAGACTTGTGTAGTAGATTAGGAGCATCTTTGCAAAAATATGTATCTAGGCATACTCTGTTTTACTGCTGGAAAAACATCCTGCTGTATGAATACAAGGCACTGTCTGTATTACAGCACATATGAGACAATAGCTTCAAAGACATTAAATCCATATATTTAGTGATCCTTCCAAAAAAACCAATCTGGGTGCCTTTTGATTTGACATTTTCCTTTCAAATATTTGTGGAGTTCAGCTAAGTAGCCTGTCAGTGAGGAAGAGGTATGACTTCCATGTTCCAGCAAGGAGCCCAAACCCAGATGAAAAACTTGAGCTAAGTATTTCAGAGGTCCTTCAAAGCCAGAAGGCATCAAAAACTTCTATGGAACCTACCAAACCTGGTCTCCAAGGTTCATGAGCTTGGGATGAAGCAGAACAGAATATTGCAAGAGAGGCAAATGAGGGGATTGTTTGTTACTTTAAAGCCCCCTTTATTTTGCCCTACTTCCTCTTGCTCAGAGGAGTAAACACTACTTTTTCCCTCAGAAGGCTGTTTGTGGTCATATGCGTAGCTCTAGTCACAAGGTGTTGAAGGGAAGAATTACAGATACACCATATTCAGTGATGCATTATAGAAAAAGAGTGAGGGTAACCTTTCAGAGCTGGGCCCTGAACTAACAAGGGGGTAAACATGTGGTTTTATCCACAGAGGTGTAGGCATGAAAGGCCAGCCAAAAGGGGTCAGTGGTGCAGCTACCCTCATAACTGTGACAAATGTTAACCCCTGCCAGTTTGACTCGCCAGCTGCATTCTTCAAATAGTGATTGCTCTGTGCCAAAATGGCATTATCAGCAATGTGAAAGGACACTGCCAAGGTGCCAGGTCTTATGAACCTAAAATTAGATCTCCCAGCTGGGCTGTACTTTCCAGGAAGACAGAGTCTCTCTTCCTCTCTCCCGTCTTTCGCCTCCGTTGGCAGGAGCACACTGGGCATGGACAGACCGAGAAACACAGCACTGCAGGACGCAAGACTCTTGTGGAACTCAAAGGCCCACTTAATCTGAATAAAGAGCCAATGAAAAGAACTGTGCATCTACAGGTTGTGTGTGTACCAGCAAAGCTGAGTTTCACTAAAGTGGCCCTCATTTTTGAAGTAAATGGGGATAACAGAAAAAAACATTGAACGGTGTAAATTCCAGTCCAAAACCCAGTACCCTGTGTAGCACTGGACAAATGGCTCCCTTTAGGTAACCTGTTTAAGTGCCTCCAAATTAACAGATTTTTGAAATTGCCCATGAATCACACTGAAAAAATCTCACTGCTTGTCTAATTCTTAAGACTGAAGGTAGCCAGCCAGCCAGATGGTATCCACCAGCATAGAAACTTAGAATAACCTAGGTTGGAAGGGACCTTGAATGTCATCTAGTCCAATCCCCATCTCACAGCAGGGTCAACTTCAAAGTCAGATCAGGTTGCTCAGGGCTTGGCATCTTTCCCTTAACAAAAAAAAGCAAATGCCTTTGGCATGGCTTCTTGCACCCTCCTAAATCAGCATTTGGGGACACTAGGTTAATGGTTGGACTTGATCTTGAAGGTCTTTTCCAACCTAAACGATTCTATGATTCTACAGGACCAATGGCCTGGCCAGTGAAGAACAGACTCCTTGACAGGTTGATAGCCAGCAAGAAGATACTGTGTAGCAAGGGGTGCACAACTGGCAGGTCCTGTTTTGTATACGGAATCCTCAGGCACCCATTTGGGATGGCAGCTCTAAGCTGCAGGGCAGCTGGGAGGCTCGCTGTTTTCCAATGCCATGTCTCCTTATTGATGTTTGAGGGTATTTAAATGTATGAGAGAACCACCTGCCATTGCCTCCCCTTCATGCATGAGCAATGAATTGCCCTCACAGACCCTTTTCCCCATCTCTTAGCTCAGGACTGCAGCTAGCACTAACTGCATGCCTGGCTTGTCATTTTTAATTTCAGTTTCGCACACAATGGCAGAGGAAAAGACTTTGGGAACTTGCCAAGATCCTCGCTTTAAAGGAGCAGCAACAGGAAAAAATTAATGAGGGTGCTAAATAAAATTCAAACACAGTATTTCTATATCACAGGTCTAGTCAAAACTCTATGGCTTGACTTACCTTTGAGTGTTCCTATACTGGGGACTGGCCAATAGCTGCTCTCTAACTGGGGATCTAGATCAGAGTGTTGATGTTGATCATTGAGAACATAAAATAAAACCAGTACACAGCACTAAATGGAAACCCACAGGGGAAAATATCAGCACAAGAAAAATGCATACACAGGCTTTTGGGGTATAAACAGGTCTGTCTCAAGCCACCTGTCTGTCCCATATTTTCAAGTCCAGGGCCATCAATATTTGCAGGAATTACTGAATTATCAGCCACAAGAGTAAAGTACATACAGTTTGGAGAAAGAGCTTTCTCATGGGCTGGTATGTCAGTTTTAGAAAGTCTTTTCCTCAGGAGATCAAAATGTAACTTTCAGGGCTAAATGAAAACCACCCTTCCTCAAGTCAACTTTTTTTTATCATAGCCTTCTACCCATCTCCCAGTCTCCTTTTCATATACATTTACTTGGGAATAGAAAGGAAAAAAATCAGTGAATAAACTACTTGATGGATTTTGTAATCACTTGCACTGTTCTGATGATAAGCGCAGGATAAATACAAAGTTTGATGAGATTAGATGGGGTGGACAGATAAAACTGATTAGGTAGACAAAATTATCATTATATTACAGATATCAAAGGCATGACTTTTCCCTAATATAACACGCATATTGTATTAACCACAAATTCTATTTGTACGTCTCTTTTGTCTCTTACAGGGAAAAGAAAATGCCTTAACAATACGCTTTATCCTCACCATTTCAGAATACATTATGTTTGAGAATGGAATAAAGACTGGTTAAAACCCCGCAATATTTCAGTACAAATAACACATGCCCCTGCCTAGTGCTAGACCCTCCTGCTCTGTGGTGGTGGAGGACAGTCAGTGCTCCCTGCTTCATCTGCAGAGTTCAGCGCTGGTGGTAAAAAGAAGTGAAACTTGGCTGCAGCGTGCCCCTGCTTTTCTTCTTCCTCCCTGTCAGCTCCACTGGTTCCTTCCCTGATCTGGTCAGAGGCATTAAGTACAACACTTTAGAAGAAAGAAAAGGTGTGGAGAAAAAGACCGATGGGGAGGAAAGCTGCGGAGCAGATGATAAGAGGAAGTGTAGACAGCAGTGCGACTATGACAAAAGGAAACGGAATAAGGAAGGATGGATCAGGAACTTGGAAATAAACTGGCAGAAAACTCAGAATGAGGAAGGATGAGGAAGGGAATCTGCCACCTCCATCTCTGCTCATTTTCCTTATTCTGAAAGCACACTCTAGTGTATTATGAACGAGGACACATGGCAGCACAGGGAATTTCCTACCTCTAATCATCAAATCTAGTCCTCCAGGATTTAAGGCACATAGAATTAAAATAAAACTTGACTTGGAGTGAAGCAAAGGGTGCAGTCAGCTGCTGAGAAAAAGGAAACTGGGCTAGAGGGACACTGGCTCTGGCCCAGGGTGGCAGCCTGTACGATTCTGAGCTTTTCTTTGCTCACTTTCTTGCCACTGTTTTGTTTATCATATACAGTAATACCAGCTGCTGCTAAATCTGGTGTGCCCCTCCTCTGCTCCATTACTTGTGGAGGTGGGCCCCCTAGACAGAAGTTGGAAGCTGGGAAATGTGCTACTGCTTCTTACTACTGTGATGCCTGTAATCTGTCTCAATGAACTACAGCGTTATGGAAGTAATAAGCGAATAAACAAATAAACAGGAAGGATGGAAACTGGGAAGAGAGGATGAAGAAAGAAGAAGAAATGAAGTGAAAATAAAAAAAAAGAGGAAGAAAAAAAACAGGGTGCAATAAAGATCTGGAAGAAACCTGAAAATACAGCAGTATTTCAAAGAAATCTTTATATAGACCTCATAAAATGCACGATTTTCTGTAGTTCTTCAAACAGATATTTAAAGCAAGCAGCCAAGTTAGAAAAAAACCCCCACAAACCCAAACACAAAAATCTTAGTGAAACAAAGGAGCTAGGTTTTTCCTGGCCACATATTTCAAAAGTTCAGATGTTTTCTTTTCTTTTTTTCTTTCATTTTCAGATGTAGTTGATGGTGATTAGAGAGACCACTTGTTTCTAGCTGTGTCAGCGTCCTATGGACACCTACAGGGCATTGAGGTTACGTCCTTACTGCTAAACAGAAGATGGTCAGGGTGGGAGCTCAAACAAGGTATCCCTAATCGTTAGCTGCCTCCCAGGCTCCATTTTGGATGCTCCCAGTGGGTCCCTTTCAGGTCACCCTTCACAGGGTGGGTGGCTGTAAGCTAATCTGTGTCAGCTCATCTTGGCCAAGGAGCAGTCCCTGGCCCTTGTTTATTTAAGAATACCTTGCATGTGGGGTGAAAGTTACACTACACTTGTGGGGCAAAACCACATTTGTGGGTCTCCCTAGGACCCAGAAAGAGAGATGAACCAGCCTGTGGAGCCAAATACATACAGGGGATGGGATCTAGCTCAGAAAGGTGAAGAAGGGCTCAGTTAGGAAGCCAATTCTCATATGAAGGAGCCTGTAACCGTAAGAAGGCACTGAAGCCTGATATGTGGAAGCAGGATTGCTTTTTATCTTTTTTCTTCTTTCTCCCCCCCCTTCCCCCCCCCGACTTGGCGGAGGCGGGGGGGTCGTGGTGGTGTTTGTTCCTTTGTCAGAAAATAAAAGAGATTCTAAAATTTTACACCTGAGTTTCTCTGGCACTCATTGTCCTGGGAGGCAACAGATGTAGCCTATGGATGGGGCTCAGAATCTAACCCATGCGGTAGCTGAATACATGCACACATAAAGGCAGACATTATTCAGACTGCATTGCAAATCTATAAAAATATGCCAATGAAATTGCCAGCCTATCAGAGGAATTGGCACTGGAAAACAGCAGCGTTCCTGGCATAGTGCCCTCCTCTTTCCACAACCTGTGAGCAAAACTATATAAACCTGTGTAAATCGAAAATAAGATTGTTCTGTAGTGAATTTCAGGATCTGTTGCATTGTTGTGGGATGGCAGGAGATTGCTCCCGGGTAAGCAACATACAAAACCATGCACAAGCCTTGGCAGACACAGAGAAATACAGAATTGCCCCTTGCCACTCCAAGCTACAGCCACTGAGCTCAAGAAAGAGTTGCTGAGATAAAAGCTAAGAAAATAAGCAAACATTAGCATCACAAAATACAAATGAGAAGCAAGGAAAATCCATTAAAGAATGTGAAGTACCAGAAAGGTAAATGGCTTTATCAACCATGAACTCCTCTGCAAAACGAATGTGACAAAAATTCTTCTTGCTTTTCCGAATTGCTGTTATATCTCCACACTGCTCAAAGACTTCCTGAATAATTTCCTCCGTTGCGTTTTCTGGTAATCCTCCAACAAACACTGTTTTACACCCAGGAGGTCTCTCTCTTGTTGAAGGTGGTGGAAGATCTAAGTCAAAACAGAAATTACATTGGAATACAAAATTTGTCTTTTGATCCATTGGCTCTATTCATTTCCCTAATCAGTTCTGGGCAGCAACGGTTATTTGACATAGCATGGAGGCGGGAGAGAGGGAGAAACAAAAGAATTGAATGTTGCAGAGATTGTCCAAAATTGATTACTTGAATCTAAACCTTTTCAAGTTTTAGGTGGCATTTCAGAGATTAATTCCTGCCACTGTGGGTTGGTCTCCAGGACAGATGGTAACATCTAAAAGGATCTTTCTTATCCCTGCACAGTCACATGAAAAATAGAAAATATTCTGTTTCAAAGCAGGGGAGCTTCTGCAACTGATTTGACCCTGAGCACACATCTCAAGCACTGGTGCAGTACATTCAAAGCCTGAACTTCGCCATCTCTGCCTCACACCCGTCACTTGCTACACTCGCCAAGTGTGTGGGCCCTCTCTGCAAGCCAGCCCATGCCGCGCACACCTTTCCCTGGTCTAAGCATAATTTCGTTTCTGTCTCAGAGTGCAAGAGCACAGCAAACAAAAAAACAAAGAGGGAAACACAACAAAGTGACAGCATGATTAAAATGCTCTACCGGTTATCTGTTTTGTCTTGTTGCCAGATAATTGAGCGGACGCCAGCACACAGGAAGGATAACCTCGCTGTTTACAAGTGCTCATGAAGTGGAGTGGCTAGAAATGTTATTTTTATGTATATATAGGATATATACACACTTAAATCATGAAAACTATTACATTTTTGAAGGCTGTATAAAAAAATATACTCTGTCATAACACTTCACCTTGTTTATATGTAGATTACTAGAACATTTGTCTAAAAGTAATTCTCTAAGAAGGAATCTGATTCATATGACTAAGTTTTTGGCCCCTTAACACAGTAGATGGGGTTACAACCTTAAAATATACATATATATACATACTCATACACACAGCCAGTTTGATTAAACCATGATCTGGGTACACTGCAAATCCAGAGCACCAGACTATTTGCCTAATTTTCTCTTTTGTCTTCACAGTGATAGTGAAAGCCCCTGGTCTGATGGCTCTGAAACTAAACCCCTGGGCCTAACATACACAAAATCAGGCTTTGTGCCTGAGCTGGTGGCTCACTGGGAAGAGTTTTCGATTTGCACAAAGTCCCAGAGGGGACAGAGGAAGCTTGGACCCAGCTCTCAAAGAAGAGAAACAGCTCATTCGCATGCTGCCCCCCCCTAATGGCAAGAGAGGAGCCGTAGTCCCCCTTTCCCTCTACCTCCCCCAGGTGGGGACCAGAGCTAGTCAGCATTTGGGTGCTAGGTGCTGTGTTCAGGGACACGAGCCCAGATTGGTCCCACCTAACTGTGGGCACCTGAAGGGGAGTGTGGAGATGATCAGCACCATATAATTGTTATATTTTGTGACATTCTTTTCTTATCAGATTTCTACTATAAGTGTAGGTCTTCAGGCTCTGTAAGCTTTGTTTAAGTAATTAGTTTTCCTTTTTGTACAAACTCAGTAGGTTTTTTTACATGACCTTACAGAGATGAATTAGTATGCTCTGATACCATACCATGCTTTACACACAGAGTAGACCTTAGAAGGAAACACCATACTTGCCTACACTCTATTTAAAAAGCATAATTTTTATTAGATAAAAAAAAATTTCAAGGAATATATTTAGGAAAATAACATTTTTCATCAGATCCACTTACTTGGGTTTGGAGGGAAGAGAGTGCAGCTTTTGCAGTGAATAATTTCTTTGACTACAGGCACATCTGTTGGTGGTGGTGGCGGCACTAACCCCATGCCTGGTATCATTGGGTTAATCGGAGTGATTCCAGTCATCATGCTAAGGCTTGGATCAAAGCCTGGTACACAGATTGAATCTGTAAATATATAACATAAAATCCTGGCTTATAAATCTTGAAACCACTTGTTACTATTTTCTTGCACAGACAGTTTAACTTTAGGCTTTTTTTTTCTCCAAGCATCACTGTTAAAAAAGGAGAAGGGAAAAGGAAAAATGGAAAAGGCAGAGCAATAGGGAGGAATGAGGGAGTAGGAGAAGGAGAGGGAGGAGAAGAGGGAGAGGGAGAGAGGTGTATTTTCAGTGAAAAAAATAAACTATGCATAAAGAAGGGAATGTTACATAATTGAAAATTTTAATATGTCTGAGTAAAACACAGCACATTAATGTGGAAAACCATGCACCATGAATATCTGTTATTATCTGGAATGCAGTTTTCTGTTTCATAATGCTACTGTGGGGTTTACATTGCCTTCTGACCAGAGTGTACAAAGAATATAATTTAACATCGATATGCCCTCTCCATCTAATTGTCAGACAGATTTATCACAACATATCTTCACATAAGTGACCTTGATTTACGAACACTAGAGAGAAAGATCCATTTCTGGCTGTTTTATAGAAGTGTAGCCAGCCAAGGCTTCTAACCATTTTACCCTGGAACATAAAGTTTCAGCTGCGTAGAATGGGGTCTTTTTGAACATTGAAATTAATTCCTTCTTGTCCTGTTGTTTAATCGGATTAGTAGATTCTCTTCAACACATGTATTATTAAAATATACCACTACAGCCTGATAAAGTAAAATGCATATTTGGCAAATGTTGTTCTTTCTCCTTCCTGATTTCTTTGCCAAGACTTCCATACGTATTATTTAAAGCTGAAAGATTTACTGGGGAGCACCAGTGCTGTAACACCAAGAATTGTAATAAGCAGATGTTTCAGATGAACTGAGAGCCAACTTCTGAAATTCGTTTTCGTTAAAACCAAGGCTTTGGGTTTCTTGAGGCATAATGAATAAAATATTTTGAGAGACCGATGTCTTTGTTGGCATAACACTGCTGCGATTTGGCATCATCAATTATTTAAAAGAAGAGAGTTACTTTGGTGTTGTACAGGTTTTCTGCTGAGGTTTCTGGCTAGGAACTGGAAAGTATTTAATGATACATGTATATGCGGGGTTTGGTAGCTTGGGACCTTGTTTGTTTTGAAGAAGCAAAGAGGGAAACAACTCCTTCTCTAGTTTTTTTTTTATATATGTATATTTAGGAAATTTGAGCTACATTTGCTACAAGGCAGCATGATCAATGGTATGTGACCAGAGAGGCCTGTTTCTTCATCCCAAATCTGCTGCTGAGAAGCTATGTGACCCTGGGTCAGCCTGCTGACCTTTCTGTATCTTAATTCCTGCATCTGCAAAACAGGTACAATAATACTCACTTACTGGTGAGGATTAGCTCACATTTTTATAGTACTTTGCAGGTGTAAAGCACTCTATGGGGGCTGAAAATTAGCATTATGATTCCTGTGAAACATCCATAATCGTCTTCTCCAGGAAAGACAACTGAGGATTGAGAACCTCTACTCCAACAGAGCTCAGATCTGTCTTGGCCGCACACTCCCCGCTCTCCACACACTGGCTGTAAGCCTTCATCACTTTCAGGCAGTTCTGTATAACAAGCCTAGCAAGCGCAGAGCAAGCAAGGATTTGCTTTAGGCTTATTGAAGACTAGTATTAATGAAAACTCATGATATTACATTACCTTTTTTTAATAAGTGGGCTTATGAAAAAGGATTTGCTCTGGGTGTGATGCTTTTTTTCAATATCAATGTATATGCATTGCTTTTCAGATTAAGCTTTGAAACTCGGAGCCTGTCATTTATTCCACAGGATGCAGTGGTAGCCATATTAAATATTCATGGCTAGTGAATGCTGGGAGATAAAGTCAGAGGTGAAAGGGCAACATACAATTCAAAGAAGTCCTTAGGCTATGCTAATTTGCTTGATCTCATTTTTAAAAGTCAGACTTCTGACAGTCACAGCAGTCCATCCTGTGCAGCACTCTCCTGCTGTGGGTGGAAGTCCATCATTACTACTCACTGCTAAAGTGGCCCACAGAGCTCCGCAGCACGCAAAGCAGAGCACCACAATAGCACTCAACGCACAGTGTCATACCAATCTTCTCCTAGGACCAGGGAAAATCAGGACTGGAAAATGCTGAGGGAGGCATCTCATCCATCCCTCTGGACAAATGTAGGATCAGCTACAGTCCTAGCCAGATATGAAATTTCACACTAAATCCAATATCTACAGTAGACCCATAGCATTCTGAGGCAAGGATGGAGCAGGTGGAAACATACAAGAAGATGGACCAAAGGCCAAGTTCTCCCTGTCCTGTGTACATCTTTCAGGTCCTATGTGACAGCCAAGGAAAAACATCATCATCTGGTGACTGCTACCACAAGTTATATTTAACCATTGCTGTTCTCTCTTTAAGACAACTGCTAGATATGTTTCAGTTTCTCTACAAGAGTAGTGAACTGAAACAACAGCAAACTCTGCCCAAACCACAGACACATGCTCTCACTCAAAGGAAAGATGGCAGGTTTCAATAAGGTACATTTTTCTGAATATTCCTTTGGCAGTGGAGAAGATACAGAGAAAAACAAATCTAAGGGAGATGGCAACAAGGAAACTCACGTCCACAAACACTGCTAACATGGACTTGAAAGGGAGCTGAGAGGAAGATCTTTTAGGTTGCATGCCAATCAAACCAGGTTTGTGATTTAAGTGGAAGAAATTTTTTTGCCACTAATTCCTGCCACGTTCAAGGAAATGGGAATTTGTAAGTAACTTTGCCTGTGTTAAATAAGTACATGGCTTTGTCATCAGTTTCTTTTACAACTGGAATCAATCTACAACAGCACAAGCAGAGTGCTGGGGGCCAGCACTGCCAAAACATCCTTCTAGGTGCACTGGGACTCCATGCCTCCAGAAGGTGACTGTGCTGAGCTACACTGAAGACGACTGAGCCAATAATTCTTGAAATCCAATTCCATATCTTGCAGGCACTAATCCAAACCCCACTACAGTCAATGGCAAGATTACTGAAGGCATGGATAGCTTTTGACCAGGACCAGGTTTGCTTTCTCTGTCCTCTTGAATAAGTTGTTTCTGCTTCCCAATGTGTTAAATTGAGAATGAAATGCTTTCATACATCACATGAGGACTGAGACGATGCATGAGTACCAGTTGTAAAGCATCCTGGAAATGAAACTAATTCGCTGAATACTAAAACCTATTACTATGCATTGCAGTGATGGAAAATTCAGCTGGATTTCTGAACAGTGAAGTTCTTGTTCAGACCCCCAAAGAGATTGGCGGTGCTTGCATCTACAGAGAAGCTGATGTATGCCACCTGCATATTGCTGACAAATCATGAAGAAAGCCTACAGATGGGATGTCCAAAGGAAATACTGGTCTGGGCTCTGAGGTGTAGAGAAAAAGGAACTGGTAAAGTCACTGGAAAGGAAAGTCAATAAATTTGCCACATCTGTGATAGGATCCAGAAAAATCCCAAGTTTAACTCTATTAATGCTACTGAGTGGTGCAATAATAGAAGTTGGATATATAGCTCTTGTCTAGGGACAGGGAGCAATCATCCATCAGCATCACCATTGCAGTCTGCTCCACATCCTGGCATAATGCCTATTTGGAGCAGGACCAGGGCACCAGAGTTAGAGCTGGAGAGAACTCCTGTTGAACTTACTGGTAAGTTTGCTGGTCTTCAGAACCAAAGATACTGATAGAGTTATGCAGGATTACAAAACAATGGGAATCAACCCTGCCCATGTACTTTTTTTTAACAGATCCATTTGGATATGTGATTATTAAGATATTGTAGACATGAATATGCTATATTAAACACAAATAGATACATTAAATTTACATATTACACATCTGAAGAGTCAGTAAGTAATATTTTATGCTTTCAATGATCATAGCATTATTTTTAAGGGGATCTATACATATATTTATGCAGCTAGGTAAGTGCTTATGATCTCTTGCAATTATAAAAACCAACGTGGGAGAAGAAAGAAAGTTTACATTTTGAAAAATGTTAATAAGTAGTTACTAAATGAAATAATTAAAATGAGAAGTTATCAGAGACGATAAGGAACTTTAAGAATGGAAAAGCACATGTTGCTCAAGTTGGAGCCTCTGTGGATACCGTATATAAGGCTTGAACATTCACACATTTGTTCAAGAAAGTAAAAGCATTGAACATCAATATTTTCAAGTCCATGTTCTGCCTAAATTTGGCAAAATGAGTCAATTCCTGTTTCATCTAATAAGAGATTGGCATGGCGGAGAACAATGAAAACCTCTGAAGAACAAATATCTGGAATCAGCAGTCAGAGACACAAGAAGAAAAATCTTGAACACTTGGAGCTTTTAAAGCTCCTTTTTCTATCAAGTAGGATATAGGAAGAACAAAAGCTTTCACATGAAATCTTTGGGTCTGGAAAAAATAGAAGAACAATAAAATCCCTTTAAGGATAACTATACTCTAACGCAGTACCTAGTGTAAAACAATTGCTTTTATGAGTCTGCATTTTGGAGTGCAGGAGCAGCTTTTTCATCCATAAAAATAGCTACACAATCTTGGAGAAGCATCCTCCTTTCCTTCTTTGGCAAGAGTTGCTGTCTGAATCACCTTCTGGTTTTGCCCAAATACCTTGAATGCATACTTCTGCCAACTGTGCTTTTCGGGATTGCACTGCATCACCACTGGCCCTTACCGCAAAGTTATATATCTGTTCAACATTACTTTTTAAGGGTATAATCCCCTATATGATTCTCAGTATTCGGCCTTGGAAGTGTCATTTACTTTGCCTGCAACTGCCAGTTGTTTTTGTGGTGTCTTATGGTATGTTGGATGCATAAGAACACCCATGTGTGCAAACACGGATTTTTTTGTGTGCCCCTAATCACACGCATGGAAGGTTCCCACCACAGATAACCGGCAGCTTGCCAGTGTCTATGGTGCTCAGACATGCTGGTCGAACACACAGAGAG